ATATAACAGGAGGGGATGTGTACTTTATCAAAGAAAATGCTATTGTTGTTAGTGCTATGAAAAGCCACTTACTACCAACTATGAAAGATGAGTTGAAGGTCTGAAAATACTAAACTAGTGTAAATGCCTCAGTATTTTCAACCTCTTTTCTACGCCCAAAGGCTGCATTTACCTGCCAAATTAAGAATAAATTTTAACTTGCATCACTTTTTATTTATAAGCATCTTTCTTCCTGAGTTTGAATGTAGCCTATATGATCTGCATCACTTGAAGAAATAACTGTTGATTTCCCTGTGGGTGTTGGTGAGGCAGGTTCCTTACTGTGTATTTGCCAAACCAAAGGGCAGCCACTGCTTCTCACCATCAGCATTCCCAGGAGATAGGACATAGGTTTTTAAGACACGGAAATATCATTGTTAAATGACTAAGGCAAAGCTAATATGCTAGCAAAAGGGATTAGATTAAATGAAATCATGCTAAAAGGCCTGACACATAACGCTAAATATAAGTTGATTTAATCTAGTTTGGAGGTTCACATTAATAATTCCTCAGCAGTGCTGAAGAGCATGGACTTTAGAGCCAGATGCCATATTTAAAAAAAAAAAAAAACCAAAACACACAAACAAAAGTCCGACTTGCCCACTTTCAAGCTAGTCAAGCTACTCAATTCTTTGGGCAGTTTCCCCACTGAAATGCAATGAGGTTAATAGCACTATAGCTGTGCTTTATAGAACTTTATAGGGTTGCTAAACTTAAATGAGATAACATATTGAAACATTATGTCTGGCACATAGTAAGTGTTCAGGAAATGTAAAATAAACTGTAAAATCAGAAAAAAACCGAAACAATACGGCTCCCTGGGAGGCTTGTAGACCAGAGACATGTTCTCTGACATGTGAAAAATGGCCTCCTAACAGATTTTCCATTCAAACTCCAATTAAATGGGAGTTAGCAGCTAGAAAGCAGCTGTTTAACGTCTGAGCCTGCCTGCTTCTCTCTTTTCTCTCTCTCTCTCAAATAAAAAGGAGGTAATGTCTTCTTCAGTATTTGTTTCATTCATTCATTGGGTGCGGAAGGCTAACTGCTCTACGTGGTGTTCTACAAATGCAAGATGAACACGTGAAATGGATGGTGGAGGAACGCTGTGTGCACACAGCGCGGCTGTCCTGGTGTCTCTGCGTTGCACATATAAAGGGAGGGAGGCTGGTTATACACGCGTATCCAGTCACTCTAGGTGACAGTGTTTTTCTTACTCATTATATTTTCAATATTTATCATCTAGGTAGTAGGTATGTTTTAAGTATACTTAGTACCCACATGATGAATAGGGCAAATTTGGTTTTTAAACCATAATGGTTTTTTTCTTTGTGATGGAGAAGAGAGTATTTATAGGAAAGTTTGTTAGATCACCCAATTCATGGATAGAAGCTAAACACATTATATTTTGGAAAAAAATGAATAGATTATATGGAATAGTTGTGCAACATTGCTATGATATTTGTTAAATATTTATGCTCTTTTATGGGAGAAAGAGTTCATTTTAAAATAAGGAAGGTAAGAACTTTGACTAGATAACATTTGTTAACGTAAAATGCCAATTTTTGTGATAGATTGTTACATTTGGAGAAGACTTGGGAAGGTCCTCTTTCCTCAGTCCCCTTTGTGGTAACGGGCACAGGACACTGAGGTGTGGCTGGGACGGTCTGTGGGCCTTTGGTGTCAGTGTTAAGCTCTTCTTGAATTTAAGCCACATTAGCAAGCAAACACTGCCACACTGACATTTAAAGGTCCACTTGAGCATCTTAAAGTATCTGAAGTGACAACTCTACTTTCAGTAGAAAAAGGAGGAAAACGAACTCCATGAGTCCTACAAAAGCATGTTGGAATCACATAATGAAAAAGCAGTTTTTTATTATGATGTTTCTCCATATTTGGCATTGCCGTAAATGGCTGGCTAACATTTACTGCCAATTCAGTACAAATGTGTGGTTTGGTAATACCAGAACAGCAAATTTAAATGAAAAATAAAAGTTAAACATTTCCACACAAGGTTTTACAGTCTGACATTTCACTGTGTAGGTAAAAAGACTTTTTTTTTTTAACTAGAGATTATTATTCAGCATGAATAAAAAACTACAACTTTTATTTTTAAACAGGAGTCACTGGTTTTAATTTTTACACATTTTAAAATTACCGTGATAAAAAATAATGAAAAAGCTTCTTAATAATGCCATACACAGTATAATATAATTTGTCCCCATTATATAGCATTTGTTTAATATACAAAATAGAATATTGACACACTTGAATCTATATGTAGTTAAGCAAGTTATTTGAGGAGGGTATTTTCATACAGCCTTTCATCAGAAAATAAAATCCTTCCTTTCAGGCATTTCCTAGAGAGAAGCTAATCCTTTCCCAACAACCTGGTCACTAATCCTTGGTGGGCCAGGCGGACCGACAGTAGTCTGGAAAATGATGAAACTTCCACTCCAAGTGGTTAAAGTGTCCAGCATACACTCCTTACTTTCCCTTCCAACTCAAACCAGGCACATAAAAACGCGTTCATCTACCGCTACAGTCTTTAAACGACCAACCAAGACTGAAATCTCACTGAGGGCTGCCATGGGTCTTGAATGTTGACAGATCAAAGTACAATGATATTGTTCATTCTGTGGAGATGTAGCTAAGACTCAGTGATAATAGGATGGATCAGTAAGTGACACTGGAATTGCTCACCCCTCCCACCACCCAGTTCTGAAGTGAGGTTGGCTCTCCTTCGTGTGTGTGTATCCAGAATGAACCCTATGCTCACTAACTACCAGGCTCCTCATAGAGCCTCACCATGCCAGTTTTCTTTTCGGGGTGCATTTTTTTCCCAGAAGGCAGATGCTCTTTTAGGTTCCCCTCCCATAGTTTTAGACAATTGGGTATATATACACCCCCCAAAGCACGTGTGTTCCCACAGCAAGGCCTAAAGAAAGCAAGAGGGGTACTCTTTTCTACCAGTAATCAAAGAGATGCTTCAGGATTTGTTGTGAGTCACCTAGGCATTTCACCAACTCTCACTGACGTTACTACAAACTTAGCTTGGGATGGCAAGATACCACATACATAGAAAATGAAGCTACTTTCAAGTAACACCATCTTTTTCACTTGAATCCGTGATTATACTTAGATGAACAACACAATTAAGACAACTTCTTTCTCACATATTCAAAAAGGGCACAACTGCTTTTTCCACTTAATGTACAGCCTCCTATAGTTTTATGAATGTCAGTTGATTTAACAACAAAGTGCTCATATCTTTTTTTTCACTGAAGTCTTTTTTTTTTTTTTAAGAGCCAAGGATGTTGGGACTAAAATATGATTAATGTGTGATGTGCTTTCTGGTTTTAACCATATAACATTCTATAAATGAACAATTTACCTTTCAGAAATTCTTTTTGAAAATTAACACTGTCATTGATAGTTATATTCAAGCGATATTTCTTAGGCACCAAAAATTTCACATCCAGCTCGGTTACAAACCATCTTAAAATACTTTGAGATCAATTTAAACCATTACAAAAGGAACATTCCCTTTTAGATAGCATTCAAAAAGCAGATTATTACATTTTTATTAAATAATTTCTGAAAAATAACAAATAACATTCAAATAGCATTCAAAGAAAACAAACATGTCCTCATTTTTTTTTTGTTTTTTTTTTGTTTTTTTGTTTTTTTGGGGGGAAATGAACTCTTGTAGGATAGAAAGGAATTAGTGTATTATTGGCAACCTATGAGCTTCTGCACTATTTACATATTGCTGGTACTTCTATGCACATTATTGCCAAACTTCTAAAGCCTCTGGTTTTATTAACCCGTTGGAGAGGCTGCCTGGGGAAGTCACCCTGCTAGGAGACGGTGCCCGTCAGTGTGCAAGCAACACCGCCCTGTCCCCTGCTTACACACTGTGGCACAAGGGGAGATGTAGTCAACAACACTGCGCTGCCAGCTCACTGTTGGAATGAGAAAGGTGGTCGGTCATTCTGGGAGGCAGAGGATTACGTCCTCTGTGATCTGCGTGGGCGGAGCCTCAGCAACTTTCACTGCACACAGGGCCAGTCTGCTTGTCCCTCTTGCCCTAGAGCAAACCTGTTTGGTTTTTGAGACCATCGCTGCCTGTACGAATGCTTGCACTCATTATAAATCATAAAGATTATCCATCAACATTTCTTTGAGCCCTACAAAAAATATAGAACATGTCGTGATAAAACAATCTCATCTAAAAATCATTCTTATTTTACACTATACAAGCTATTTTACAATCATTTTAATAAATTGCATGTAAAGCTGCAGTAGCCCTTCCCTTCCCAGATTAGTGAATACCAATATGATATATATCTGAAACTATAACTAAATATAAAAATATATTAGAAGTTTCATATTTTTAATATTAGATTTTCAGTTTTCTATTACACAAATAATTTGGCCACCTGGAATAGAAATCAAATTTCATGTGGCTTAGGAAATACGAGTTTTGAGTTTACAGAAAGTTGGTAAGGTGCACACAGAAAGGGCTACTACAGCTTCTATTTTGTTTAAAATGGTAATTCTCAACAGTGAGGAGGAAAAATTCACAAGACTTTTGTTAGACTCTATGGCACGTCCAGGGCTGTGAGGGATGTGCAGTTTCACAAACACGGAAGTCTGACACACAGTCTACGTGACGGGAATCAGTAGCTGAGCTTTCCCGCACCACCAGGAAAGATGGGCCAGTCGGTGACAGATGGGGATGTGAAAATGGGTGTCTGGCCACTTTTGCCATGTTATTTATTTTGGGGGGTACTTGGTCTGATTAAAATTTCTCAGCTTCGTTTCAGCTGGTATCTGGAATCATAACTTTTCAGAAGTTACACAAACTACAACAAAAGGTCCTGAAAGACAGTATACTAACTTTCTTGCCATCTGACCATTGCAGGGATAGGGCATTAGGTATAAACAGGGCCTCTTGGTAGTTTTTTGTTTGTTTGCTTGTTTTAATTAGTCTTTTGCAACCATCATCGACAGTTTTACCCAGCAGGTCGCTGGATTAGGTAGGTGCTCTATACCAGTTAGGATGGTTAATTTGCACAATCTATATAATTCTCCACTGAAGCAGATATATACAAAATATGAGCTTTTTTGACAAGAGTACTGGAGATTTGAGTCAATTTTTGTGGTCTTCTGATAGCTAAAGTGCCATCAGGTTAGAAGCACCAACCCATTTTCACAAAGGAGATCAATGTTTAGAGTTTACTTAGGAAAGCTATGAACTAGCTGCCCATCTTAAACAGTTGTACAATAACTTGAATACAAAAATTATGTAAGAAAAAAATGAGCAAACGTAGTTCTCTGAATATAAAGGAAATTGTTAAAACCAGACAGTAATAGCTATAAAAGGCACAACTTCCCTTTTCTGATATACACTTGTAAACGTTTTTCAGATTTCCATGCATAAATCAAAAAATGTTATGCTAACTATACAGGGCAAAATACACCAGCAAAAAGTCTAGAAAATTTTATCCAGCCAACTGTGAAAAATATGAGCAGAAAATTCATTGTGCAGACTTCGGGCACTGGTGGTTTGGGTGCCACCGTTCTCTGACACCGGAGGTTGCCCCATGTCCCTGTTTCTGATTTCTGGGACCCACCCACTGTCACCTCCTACTTCCCCATCACTGGAGGTGACAGCTTTGCTGCGTCTGTGGCCAAGGGCTGGCCCTCTATAAACCACATGTAGTGCGTGTTTAAAACAAACAGAAACAGAAACCAGACGTAAACAAAAGAGGAAAAATAAAACTGCTATAGGACAAACCAATAGTTTGTACAATGAAAGCTATAAAGTCGACTTTCCTTAAGGCAACCTTTCTTATTAAGGCAGTCACTTTTGATGAAACAGAAGTTTTTTGACATTTCCACTTGAATATTTTGGTAACTGATTGGAGATGATTTCAGCTAACATCTCTGGGAATTCAATACTCATGGTCTTATCCAAAAATGTTTGGAAGCAATAGTGAAGGAGATTTTCAGCTACCTACAAGAGATGATAGAGTAATGATTAGTCTCAAAAAACTTACCAGCTGGGACATCTCATGCCTGTTGGCCTCTATTTTTAAAAAGTAAATATCTGACCTACATAGAATATACCAGTCTCTGCTGGAATTTTCCAAATTAAAAGAATAGTTTAGTTAAATAAAATGAGCACTCAGGTACCAAAGATATCTTGAGTCCCTTAAATTGTATACAGAATTATATAAAATTAAGTGCTTCATGATGAACTGTAGTACTATAATACATGAGACATACTCTAGTTCATAGATTAATCATGCAAAACTGGGGGATTCTACATTTTAAAAATCAGTGCTGTTAAATTCTCTACTGGCATCATGTTATATGCACATGACTAGATGTGCATCTCGTTATATGGACATGACTAGATGAAATTAAATTTCATAATTGGCCTTAGGAAAAATGTGTACTGAACTGAAGTCAGTTTGAACTCAAACCATCATCAATATCCACAAGTGGGGAAAAAAATATTGGCATATAATTTTATACAGTAATTAGAACATACTTTTTATCCCAGAAAGTTTTGATATTTGGATTTGTGCTCGACACTTACGTCATGCATGGAGTCCAGGAGTTTTGTCAGCTGATAGAACCGCTGCCAGTTCTGACTGGAGCTTCCTTCCCTCTGGACAATGGCTTTCCCCAGCTCTTTGATGTAGGTCATTCTGATTTCATCGAACAGCTCTTGGCTCTTCAGGCCTTCCTTAGGAACTGAAAGATTAAGATGTAGTCAATTAAGTCGTGATAACTTTTTATATACTCAAGTGGGGCATTTAATTAATAGCACAATTCACAACTTCCCATTGTCTATATGATTTTAATGCACTCTATTAAAACATAAACATTTCAAAGGATCATGAAACTATAGCCAAGGACATAAGGAATACGAGGAAACTGGAGGACTTAACCTTCAGTAAGTCACTTTGTTTCGCATCTGTAAAAATGCCACTGGTGAGGACACCTGCCTTTCCAGTTCACAAAGCTGCCTGAAGACCAAATACTGATACATAGTACGGTGACTGCCGTTCTGCCCTTCGGTTCACTTTCAGTACAGACATGGAGAAAGCTTCCACAACAGTGTTTATTCCACCAGTTACATCTTGGAATATATGTGATATCACTGGTCAGTTAGAACCTTAAAATCAGCACAGCATGTAATACTTTTTGTTAGTCAATGCATTAACATACTGAGTTGATATGATATCAATCTAAAAAGAAATGTGATTTTTTTATGTGGCTTATATATATATGCCCCCTGGGAAGGAAATAATTGGTCTTCTGTTCTGTACTCAGAAATATAGTAAATAACCTCATGAATTGTGGATCATAAAACTGGTGTAAAATCAATTTTTAATATTATTCAAAAACAGATACTAGTGAAGATTGTGAGCAGAGAGTTAATCATGGTTTCCCTTACTCTTACAGAGATTGACTTTTGTAGAATGCCACATTCTCAAAGTATATTCCTAGGAGCTCTGGATCTGTGTTACTGGCTAGGGAAAAGGATTTGATGGTCCGAATGTAAGCAAAGCTAACTGTTTAACACAGAGTGAGGTGCACTCCTGGATTGCAGAACTTCTCAGAGCCATAATTACGTGGTCCCCAGACAGGGGAACATGTTGTTTCCCAAACTTCACCACTGCTGACCTCTTAGGAAATGCTGGCACAGAGGAAAAGCTGGATTTAGAGCAAGAAGTCTTAATTTAATTCTTACTTGCCCAGTAGACTTGTTTCCCTAGATTAGTTTTTTTTTTTTAATTTTAACAAATTTAAATTTAACTAACATGACATTATGTAAGTCTTGGGTGTTCAACATGGTTACCTATTTGTATATATTGCAGAATGATCACTGCAGTAAGTCTAGGTAACATCCATCATTATGCACTGTTACAAAAATTTTTCCTTGTGATGAGAATTTTGAAAATTGTCTTAGCAACTTTCAAATACACAGCACAGTGTTATTAATGACAGTCCACATGTTGTACATTATATCCCCATGATATTTATTTTATAGCCAAAAGTTTGTACTTTGTAACCCACTGCACCCGTTTTTCCCACACTGTGCCTCTGGCATCCAGCAATATGTTCTCTGTATCCATGAGCTTGTTCTTGTTTTTAGATTCCACATCTAAGTCAGATCATATGGTACTTGTCTCTCTGCCTGGCTTACTTCACTTAGCATAATTTTCCCCCAGGCCCATCCTGCTGACATGAAGGGTAGGCGTTCCTTTCTTTTATGGCTGAATAATATTCCATGGAATATAAATCTCTCTCTCACGTTCTCTTATCCACTTAACCATTGATGGACACTTAGGTTGCTTCCATGTCTTGCCCACTGTGAATGATTTGTCAATGGGGTTGCATATCTTTTCCAGTCAGTGTTTGTGTTTTCTTTGGATAGATACCCAGAAGTAGAATTGCTGGATTATGTGGTGGTTCTACTTTTAATTTGTCGCATAATCTCTATACTGTTTTCCATAGTGGCCGCACCAATTTATATTCCCACCAACAGTACAAGAGTTTCCTTTTTCCCCCACATCCTCGCCAAAACTTGTTACTGTCTTTTTGATGAGGACAACCATTCTCATAGGTGTGAGGTGATAATCTCATTGTGGTTTTGATTTGCATTTCTCTGATGATTAATGATGTTGAGCACCTTTCCATGTACTTGCTGGCTATTCTGTATGTCTTCTTTGGAAAAATGTCTATTCAGATCCTCTGCCCACTTTTTAATTAGATTGTTTTTTGGCTATTGAGTTGTATGAGTTCTTTATATATTGGGTTGGCCAAAAAGTCCTTATGGTTTTTTTCCATAAAGTAAAAGACACATTTTTCATTTTCACCAATAACTTTGATTTGGGTATTTTGAGTATGTCAGCTCTCTCCCGCATGGTATAATGTTGACTCTTCTCAGTGGATGTCTCGATATGATTGCTATGAACTTCGATTGGTCCACCTGACCAAAGCATCACCTAGCAAGAAATGTCCAGCACGAAACTGTGCAAACCACTTTGGACATGTTCGATCAGTCACAGCACCTTATCCACATACTGCACAAATCTTCCTTTGCGTTTCAGTAGCATTTTTACCTTTCTTGAAATAATAAAGCATGATATGCCAAAAATGTTGCATATTTTCTATCTTCAATATTAAAATGGCTACACAAAAATTCACTTTTTTTTTTTAATGCACACTGATGTGACATGTCACAGTACAGTCTAACAAAATTGTTTCAAATGAAGTTAAAGACAGAGAAGTGCTACTAGAACCATCTTATGGGAAAAACTGAATGGGCTTTTTGGCCAACCCAATATTTTTCGACATTAACCCCTTATCAGATATACGATTTGCATTTGGTATGTTGCCTTTTGTCTTGGTTTCCTTTGTTGTGCAGATGCTTTTTAGTTTGATGCAGTCCCACTTATTTGTTTTTGCTTTTTGTGTCAGATCCAAAAAAAAGTCATCACCAAGACTGTTGTCAAGGAGCTTACCATCTGTTTTATCATTTCAGGTCTTACATTTAGGTCTTTGATCCATTTTAAGTTAATACTCATGTGTAGTATAAGACAACGGTCCACTTTCTTTCTTTTTGTATGTGGCCGTTCAGTTTTCCTAACACCGTTTACTGAAGAGACTGCTTTTGCCACTGTATATTGGCTACTTTGCCATAAATTAACACTAACAACATTAATTCTTCCAATGCAAAAGCACAAAATATCCTTCCACCAGTGTCCTCTTCAGTTTGTTTCATCAGTGTCTTGCAGTTTTCAATGTATAGGTCTTTTTCTTCATTGGTGAAATTTATTCCTAGGTACCTTATTCTTTTTGATGCAATGATAAGTGGAATTGTTTTCCAGATTTTATTTTCTACTAGTTATTACTGTACAGAAGTGTAACAGATTTTAGTATATCGATTTTTGTATCCTGCAACTTCACTGAATTTGTTTAAGTTCTAACAGTTTTTTGGTGGAAACCTTAGGATTTTCTATACATAATATCATGCCATCTACAAATAGTGGGAGTTTTACTTCCTTCTTTTTGATTCAGATGCCCTTTCTTTTTCTCGTTGTAATTGCCCTGGCTAGGACTTTCGGTGCTGTAGTGAAAGCGGCAACGGTGGGCAGGCATCTTGCCTTGTTCCTGATCTTAGAGGAAAAGCTTTCAGCCTCTCACCATTGAGTATGAAAGCTGGCTGTGGGTTGTTATATACGGCCTTTATTATGGTGACGTATGTTCCCTCTATTCCCATTTTGTTGAGAGTTTTTAATCACAATCAGATGTTGAATTTTGTCAAATGCTTTTTATGCATCCACTGAGAATATCATATGATTTTTATCTTTTAATTTGTTAATGTAGTATATCATTCTCACTGGATTTTGATTAGGATTAGACCAAAAAACATACAGGGAAATGTTTTGATCCCATAAAGCAATACCTGGTACTTCTAAAATGTCAGTATTGAATGAAAAAATGAAGACTACTTAATCAGGAGTGATAAGGGCCTATCATGTATGTGATGTATTAATAATTTTACATATTATTTTAATATTACAGGTCACCTAATTTTTAAAAGTGATTGCTTATTTATATACTTTTTCCTGCTTGTTACGCTAACTCTAAAAATAATTATGGTAGAAGCCCTATTTGATATTTACATTAAAAAGAATTTCATCCATCCAAAATCATCCTTGCAGTTCCATGAATTTTTGCTTTGTTTTTGGAGACCATGTATTTAGAAATTTTTCCCGGTGAGTAGAATGCTTTATGTAATACATATCTTTAATGGAGGTTTTTTGGGGTTTTTTTACCTTTAAGTTTATTTTGATACTAACGTAGCTGCTTCAACTTTCTTTTGGTTAAAGCAGTGGTCAGCAAACTATGGCTCATAGTCTAACCCCACCTACAGCCAGTGTTTGTAAGCAACGTTTTGCTGGGAGAGAACCATGCCTGCTCTCTTCAGGAATTGTTGATGACGGTGTTCATGCCACAAGGGGCAGAGTCGAGGGCAGCCCCTTGTAACGGAGAATGTATGCAAAACCCAGAACCGTTTAGCATCTGGCCTCTGCTGAAAGTGTTTGCTGTTACTGGGTTATACCGTGCATAGTACATTCTTTTATTTTATTAACTATCTTTATTTATATCTTGTGAAGTTGCTGATATATTTGAATGTATTTGTAACCACCTGTTACTTACTCTTATGATGCTTTCTGTTTATCCTTTTTCCCTTTCCTCTCATTTCACTCTTTTGCATTGTTTTTTCTCACCATGTTTTCCTCTCTTCCCTAATGGCGTTGGTGCGTTACATCCACTTTGTTCCTTGTTGTCATCAAACACTCATTCTTAATTTACCAAACTCTAATTTTTTTTCTTACATGTAATTATTGTGTACTTCAGTTCTATTTTTTAAATCCCCAAAGACATTATTACTGTTATTTTATACATAAATGTTAGGTTAGATGGAATCTGCATATTTACCACTTTCTTTGTTCTTTTTACCTTCTTAAAGATGGGATTATTTTCCCTTAGCCTAAGAATTGATATCTTTTAATATTACTTTAGTAAGGCTTCGTGGTGGCAAACTTTCTTTTAACCGTCATTTAAAAAAAAAGGACTATTAGTATATTTAGACAATTCAAATTTAAAGCAATTGTTTGATATATTTGGATTAGTATCTGCCATGCTTGTAACTGTTATCTGCTCATTGCATTTGTTCTGCTTCCTTTTTAATCTTCCCCTCTTTCTGCCTTTTCTAATTTTAATTGAGCATTTTCTCAGTCGTATCAGTTATATATTCTTTTTAAAATTGTTTTTAGTGGTTGCCCTAGAGTTTGCATATACATTCACAACCACAGTTGACCTTAAGTAATGTGGGGGTTGGTGCAGGGGGAGGAGCATGCAGTTGAAAATCCACTTGTTTGTAACTTCTGAATCTACAGCTGGCCCTTTGTATCTGTGGATTCAGTCAACTGCGGCTGGGAATGTGAAAATACTGTTTTTGATCTGCAGTTGGTTGAATTTGAGAATGCAAAATCTGAATACAAACGACCAACTGTATTTATTTGGGGGGGGGGAATCTGCATATAAATGGACCCAAGCATGCCCTGGCTGGTGTGGCTCAGTGGATTGAGTACCGGCTGGTGAACTGAAAGGTCATTGGTTCGATTCCCAGTCAGGGCATGCAGCTGGGGGCATGCGGGAGGCAACCAATCGAGGTTTCTCTCGCACATCAATGTTCTTCTCCCTTCCCCTCTAAAGATAAATGAATAAAATCTTTAAAGAAAGTGGACCCAAGGAGTTCAGGCCTGCATTCCCTTTCAAAATGTCGCTGCAGGTGGTGCAGGTACCTTCAAACAGAGCTGTGCAGCCCCGCCCGCACCCCCCTTGCCCATTGCCCTCACTCAGCCAGCTCATCCGGGCTGTCCTCACCCCGTACCCTGTCACTGTTATTACTGCAAGCAATTACCTGTTAGATCAATTAAGAAGAAATATAATTTTATCTCCATCTATTCCTTTTATAATACTCTTCCTTTCTTTATGTAGATCCATATTTCTGACCTGTATCATTTTCATTTCCTCTAAGGAACTTCTATTAACATTTTACGAAAGGCAGGTCTACTAGAGACCAACTCTCTCAAGTTTTTGTTTCTGAGGAGGTCTTTATTTTGCCTTCACTTTTGAAGGATATTTTCACTGGATACAGAAATCTAAATTGGTGATTTTTTTTTTTCTTTCAACACTAAATATTTCACTTCACTTTCCTGCTTGCATGGTTTCTAATGAGAGTGCTGATGTATTTCTTACTCTTCTTCCCCTAGGGGTAAGCTGTCTCCTCACCCCGCTTGCTTTAGAGATTTCCCCTTTATTCTTGCTCTTCTGTACTTTGAGTAAAATATGCCTAGGTGTAGATTTTTTTGTATTTTTCTTTCATGGTGCTTTTTGAACTTCCTGGATCTATGTTTTGGTTTCTGTCACTAATTTTGGAAACTTATTAGGCATTATTTCTTAAAATGCTGCTTCTGTTCCTTTCTTTTACTTCTGATTTTCCCATTACTTGTAGGTTACACCTTTTATAACTGTTTCCACTCTTCATAAATACCCTGTTCCATTTTTTGGTTTTCATTCTTTTTTATCTCTACATTTGAGTTTGGTACGTTTCTACTGACTGTTTTCAAGCTCAGTGATTCCCTCCTTGGTGTGTCTAGTCTTCTGATGAGCCCCTCAACAACATTGTTTATTTCTATATTACAGCATCTTAATTTCTAGTGTTTCCTTTGGATTGGATTCTTTCTTAAAATTTCCATGTGTTCTTATATGTAGTTTATTTTACTTTTCCCATTAGAGTCCTTAATATATTAATCATAGGTATTTCAAATTTGCTAACTGATAATTATATCTCTGTGCTGTATCTACATCTTGTTCTAATGCATGTTTGTTTTTTTCAGGTTGTTTCTTTCTTTCCTTTTAGCATATCTTGCAATTTTTTGCAAAAAGCTAGAAATTGTGTGTCAGAACTAAAGTAGACTTACAGGGTGATGCTTTATGGTAATCTGGTTAGGGACTGCGCGGTGTTAAATGTCTGGTGTAGGTGTTAAAGAGGTTCTAGTTTCTTTTTTTTCATAGTTTCCCCTGTTGTCTTTCCTCCTTAAATATCTGTGTCCTACAGTTTTCTCCACTGTAACTCATTACTATATACAAGAGTTCTGTTGATGTTGCGGTAAGGTGGAACATTTTATACCTTTATGATTAAATCTGTTTTTAGTAGGCCTGGTTGCTGGGCTGTGTTCTTAAGACATGTTTCTGAACCCTTTGTTTTCTCTTCTCCCTTCCCTTTCAGGGGTGTCCAACTTTTTGACATCTCTGGGCCACACATTAAATGCATTGCGACACACAATCACAAAAGAATCTATTTTTAGTGAATTTACGATTTTGTGTTGGGCTGCATTCACAGCCATCCTGAGCGGCATGTGGCCCGTGGGCCACAGGTTGGACACCCCTGTATAATATAGAAAGGTAGAGGGAGCTAAAATTCTGAATTTGTCCCCTCTCTCAGGTCAGATAAAGCTCTGCTACAGCAGTCTCCCCTAGCAGGCAGAAACATAAGGGCCTCGTTCTTAGGTCTTCACCATGAGAACCTGGTGGGGTTTCAGGAGGCAAATGTCAAGTCATTATGGGGAAACAAGCCCCCTCCCCAGACTGGGTCCCAGGAGTTCTCAGCTCTCAAAACTATCCCTCCTTGGGTCTTCAGAATTCATCCAAACTACTACAAGTGTTCCTACCAGTCACTGGCTTTGGTAGCTCCTGTTCCCTGTAAGCTCACCTGGGGTTGTGCTTCTCCGTATTTGCTTGTTTCTACAGATTTTGAGGTGGTGGTTTGCCCTGTGATCTCAATTCTCTGATAAATCTAAGACAAGCCACTGATCTTCAGTTCGATCAGCTTTTTCTTGTTGTGAGGATAGGTGATAATTTCTAAGCTGTTTACTTGTGAGAGCTGAAACTGAAGTCCACCTTCATTTTCTTTCCTTACCATTTTGAAAACATTCCTTTTTTTCAGTTTTTGTTTTGTTCAGTTAAATTGCTTCTCTTTTGAAGATGTTTTTTCTCTGCCTGTTCAGTGATTTTCTTGTTAACCTTGCTGTTGAGTCAGCTGGATTTTATTAATATATTATGTGGAATTCATTGCATGGCCCAGATACAAGGATTGGTATCTTTTAAAAATTCTGGAAGGTTTTCAGCCATTATCTCTTTGTATAATGCCTTTCCGTATTTCTTTTGTCTTTCATTTTGGATCTCTGGTGATTATGTGAGACCAGAGCTTGTTCAGCTGGTCTACGGTGAATGGGCTACCAATATGTGATAGTGGTGTTATCAAAGGTCACAGGAAGGAAGAAGTCTACACACATACCAGATCAAGAGACCCGCGTGCAGCTCATATTCCTCCACGACACCAATGTGCCCTACTGACTGTGGTATCATTAGCTGTGCCCTTCTAAAATCTTATATTTATGAAAATCTGACTAGCAGAAAATAAAAGACTTGGTTTGAGTATTAGTGCTATGTATACAAATAACCCTTTGTTTCTAGACATCTATATTTCATGCTTTTGACACATTTGGAAGTGAGTTTTAGAAGTGAACAGGTGTTCCACCTACCGGATGAGAGAAGCAGTAAGGTCTTCATACAGAGATACTCTTCGTAGGATACCTGAAGGCGCTGTAACTCAGAGGCAACAAACAACATATGTTTGCACTGATCATACAGGAAGGGCAGAGTCATCCTCTCCCTGTGAAAGACAAATATCAGTGTTTGAATTAGAAATAAATAGCACTTGTTTAAAAAAAGGGTACAGATATTTAGGCATTATTTTGCAAAACTATGAACTCACAAAGGAAAACCAGACTGTTACGGGGGTTGACCAAAAAGTCAATTACTTTTTCCACAAGATGGCTCTAGGAGAGCTTAGCTGTCTTTAACTTCATTTGAAACAATTTTGTTACATTGTATTGTGACAGCTGTCATATCAGTGTGCACTAAAAAAAACCTTATTAAAACTGGTGAATTTTTGTGTAGCCATTTTCATATTGAAGATGGGAGAAAATATGCAACATTTTTGGCATATTACGTTTTATTATTTGAAGAAAGGAAAAAATACAACTGAAATGCAAAAAAAGATTTGTGCAGTGTATGGATGGAGCAGATGCCATGACTGATGGGACGTGTCAAAAGTGGTTTGTGAAGTTTCTCGCTGGACGATGCTCCTTGGTCCGCTAGACCAGCGGAGGTTGACAGTGATCAAGCCAAGACATTGATTGAGAACAATCAACATTACACCACGCAGAAGATAGCCAACATACCCAAAACAGCCAAGTCAGTAAAGTTATTCGTGACTAATACCAATTATTAAATTAAAAAATGGGTCTTTTATTTTATAGAAAAAAACCATACGGACTTTGCGGCCAACCTAATACAATACTATTACTACTACTCTGTAGATCATAATTTTAGAAAACTTTCCTTAAACTTGTTCCTGAGGTCTCGAGCATATAAAGAAACTACTGAATAACCTAATTTTGCATTGGAGAAATTACTTTTCTATCATGCATGCTGTGTATTGTTTTATTTACTGGAGTGTTTAGAATTTATTACCACTTGCTCATTTAAATCAAGGTTTTATGGTAGCATTTGAATATGGACAATTAGGTAAGTTCTAAAAATCAAAAGGTACTTTTTTGCACAGCATTCCATTCTAAAGACAATTACATTTATAGTTATGCAAAGGGTCAGAACTTGAACCTAGGCTCTTTGATGCTCCAAATCTGCCTCTGACAGATGAGCTGTATGACTGAACTCTCCTAACTAAAGGTACCAAGCGAGTTCTCAGTTGGGATTCTCAACAATCGTTACCAGGACTATGATTTTCAGATAGATCCAACTTTTAAATGACACTAAGAGCGTCAATCTGGGCCCAGTTCATAGTTTGTTTTGTTTTTTAAGTTTTTGAGAGAAAGTGATTTTGGGTTTAACAGGAAAAAAAGTTACTATTATTCTCTACTGAGGATGTTACTATTATTCTCTGAGGATGTGGTTTATTTTTATGATAACATGAACCAGACATGAATGGTGTCCAGCCAGAGTGGTGACAGAGAAGCTTGGGGGACACTCTCCCCTAAGGCCCTAATAGGGGTTTAGCATTTCTTTCCTGGGAGGTTATCTTTTTATCTTTCAGTTTCTAATACGTGGTAGTTTTGACAAAGTTATAATGTAGTAGAGTAAAAATGTCATTCTAGTTGGCTGTTAAAAAGTATTTTCTACAACTTTTCTGACCTAAGGACAATGATGAGAAACTGTTCCACAAGCTACACAGAGGGTCAGAACTGGCCTGTTGCAGATGCCAGGGCAACGTGGGGACACGGTGAGCTGGAGGAAACAGGTGCAGGCCTTCCTGCCTCACACACGGAGAGAACATGAAGTCAGAACAGCCTCTTCCAACTACAGTTCGTGCAGCCGTTTATCCTCCAATAGAGCTGAGCCCTGAGAACACATTTCTGCGGCTCCTGCAGGGTGTAAGGAATGCATGTGGCCTGAGCAGGTGATGCTGTGACTGTTTAAATCTCAGTATGAGTGTTGCCAAAATAAAAACCCCAAATTAGACTAACTTTATAACAGAAAGGTAAATTGGTTTATCATAGAAATCTCCACTCAGTTTTTAAAATTCCAATTAAATGACTTATAGTCAGAAAGTGACTATAAGTAAGCGTGGTTGCATTTTAAATGTCATTAAGCTTACATAGAAGCTATATAAATTTATCAGTTAATTTAAAATTTGAGCAAACCAATCTTGTTAAACTGTGATGCCCCTGGTTTGAACAGGCCTCTTGTTGGCAGCAGCCAGCTGAGGTGCCCTACCTTCTGCCCATGTGAAGACCTGGTCCGGCCAAGCACAAGGAGGGCCTTCTCCTCCAGGTCTCAGTTCCAAGGGCACCTCCTCCAAGAGGCCATGAGCTGCCCTATTTGTTGCAAAGCTCTGTCTGGTAAAAAGTTTATCACAATCTGAAATTTTACTTGTTTGGTGGTTATCCGTGTCTCCCCAGCTGGAATGTCAGCAATAAAGGTGAGGAGCCTCATCTGTTTTGTTCTCTGCTCTAGTGCCAGGCAACACAGGTTAGCGGTGTGATGAGTATTTGTTATTCCCCTTTACACCAGTCTCTCCATCATGTTTCCCTCTTTCTGAAGCCTTTCCAGGCTGCTTGCTCCTGGAATAAAACCTGAGTTCTACTTCATGGGTTACACAATTCTGCTTGTCTTGGCCCCTGCCTGGGTCTCTAAACTCATCCAGCACCCTCCCTCCATGGCTTTTTCTCAGGTGCCCACAGGTGCCGAGGTTGTTTCCAGCCTTTGCCCTCATTTCTTCTGCCTGGAATTCCCTCCCTTTCAAAGAACCTGTTCTATGTAGTGCTCAGCTGTTTGGGAAGGTCATCTATGTTCCCCAAGTCTAACAGCACATGCCTCTCTCCCCTCCCCTCTGTGACACTATTATATCACGGTTCTCCAAAATAATCCTGGTCACATGTTTCTTCCCCATCAAATGTTAGTAGGGGTGTCATCTGTTGTATTCACTGTTAGAGCTCAAGCTCCTCACCTAGTATCAGGCACTTGGTAAGTACTCATGTAACACTGAGCACACACAGTGCTGGAAAGTGTTACCAAGAGAGAAGCAACACTAAGTTTAACTCCACAATTCAGTCAGGGGTTTTACACTAGTTTTGCCTGCAGCGATCCTAACAGATGGAAAAACTTGAACTTTCTCCTGTAGGTAGTTCCTATTTAGCCTGACAGACACATGGTCTTGGAATTACCTAGTAGTAGTACGAAGAAACTGTGTCCTGAATCTAGAGAATTACCCCACTACTTGCAGCTCCTTGCACGATGCCTAAGAATTTCCTTTAAAATGTCTGGAGTTAGCACCATCCACTTTCTACTAAAGCACAGTAATGCAAGGACGCTGCAGCGTAAAGCAGGCCCTCCCAAGAGATGCTGCAACACGTCGGCTTTCTGTTCACAGTGCCTCTTCAGGCTGTCCTTAGCGCTTTCAGGCCACCTTCCCTCTTTCTTCCATATATCTCCTGCTCATCAACTAATGTTAATTTCCCAACTCCTTGTCACTCTGGACATATTTACACTTGTCATTGTATTCACATGGCATCTGCTTCTGAACACAGACTACTTAATAATGCTTGACTCACACAGAGTGCAGTGGGACTATTCTACTAACGTGGTTTAAGAATTTGTTAATTTTTTTTGAACATTTGTCAACACTAAGTGCCCAGTGCTCGTGATTAAAGAAATATCCTTTTTCCCCCTCCACGTAAATTCCCCTTCATATTTGACTCTGCTCAGACCATGGGCATGTATGCGAGTTCCCTGTTCGTAGTCCAATACAGAAGACAAGGGAGACAGCGATGAGCCGAGGGCGTGCAGCAGAGAGGCCTTACGAGGTGCTCTGAGCATCATGAACGGAGGGCATGTTTGAAAGATGGGCCATGTGAGCGGGAACAGGGAGTGTGTGATGGAGAACAAGGAGAGGGAAGGGAGGCCAGGTTCTGGAATCCCGGAAACCATGCTGAGTGCACGGGGCGGTCAGCGAGGAGGGCTGCAAACATCTGTGTGGCGGGGGGGACACGTGATGGGAGCACACAGTGTTTCCGGAAGAAAAAGTCAGTCAACGCGATGGCGAGTACACTGGATGCAGGAAGCTAGTTACTTAGGAAAGCGCTGCACTGAGCTGTGGGGGACGAGGCATTCAAAATAGCTCGCAGAGGGACACACCTGCCTAGAGGATCAGAGGGCATCTGATTTGTAAAATCTTAAAGCTCGGTGGGTTCTCTCTCAGTTACAAAGAGCAGTCTTGTTCCTCTGCTCTTTCCAAGTAGTGAACATTGAGTGGCCCTTGCCTTTCAAAGAGGCACCTCTTCTCTCTGGATCTGCATTTCCCATCCCTCAGCCTGTGTGTCCTCACCTGTCCCTGTCCCTGCTGAAAGCAGGAGCACAGTGAATCACATCATGCTTTTTCTTACTGGAATAGGGTTATGTAATGAAAATGCCTTACAAGATTTCATTTTACTTGCTATAGACTTTACTAACCCAGAGATGCTTACTGTTTAATATCCTTAAATATGTCCTGGGACCTTGATAATGCCACATGTATATTCCATGTTTTACCTGGCTTCCCTTAAGCATTGATAAACACTATTTCAAGTTGGCCCAGTGCCAAGATACCTGGTAGCATTTGATCCAGTCCTGAATGACCACAGTAGTCCATCAGGAAACGGTCAGCTGGTTGAAATACTCTATGAATACAGGGAGAATGACTTACTCATTAACAATCAGATCAGGAGCGAAACACAGCATGGTCCCTTGTGTCTGTCTATATGATCTCCATCCCAGGGCAAATGCCATGAGGAACATCCATGAATATTGCAGCAGGGTCATTTGGTCATCCAGGTGCAAGTTCCTGAATCCTGAAGCAAGAGAAACAAAGGTGTGAGGAAAAACTGCAGCTGCCAAAGGGAAGACCGTCCCTCTGGACACTGCTGAAGAGCAGGTGAGAATCAGCCTTGTTTTGGGGGACCGCGGACAGATAGAGGAAATGAAGCTCCAAGGGGGCTCAGTTTTCCTTGGTCATGTGCATGTTAATGCTCAAAGCTCTCCGTGCTTTTTAAATGTTTCTTTTTTAAATCCTCACCTGAGGATATGTTTATTGATCTTAGAGAAACAGTGATGCGAGGGAAAAACATTGATCAGCACGTGCCCCAACCAGGGATGGAACCTGTAACTGAGGTATGTGCCCTGCCTGGGGGACCGAACCCACAACCCTTTGCTGTACAGGATGGTGCTCCAACCAGCTCAGCCACCTGGGCAGGGCCCTCAGTGCTTTTAGTAGCATTCAGTGTTCAAAGACTTGAATAGACAAAAGGTGACAAAAACTAGGGCTACTCTTAGGTCAATATAAACTAATTAATAAAAAGGAAAATCCAGAGTCCTGGCTTGGGACGTTAAATTAAAAACCTTTCCCTGATACTTATACCTCTTTCCTTCCCTGACAGACTAGGGATGACAGGTGGTCCCTTCATGCTTGTTCTGTTTCTATCTGTGTGGACAAAGGCTTGTCGAATCCCTTCTAACTGTAAAGTCAGGGAAGAATTAAGATGGTCTGCTTCAGTACATTCTGACAAAGTGTCACTACACCTGACTTACCAATTTTACAAATAACCTGATTTTTAACTAAGAAGTAGTTTACATTTTCTCCCCCTACTTAAGTGTAAAAGGAATTCTGAATAACTGCAACTGTTTGTGATGTTGCATTGTTCTATCTGAAATTACTATGCTCTGAGTAATAATCTGAAAAGCCGGGAGCAGTGTAAAACTTGGATCACAGACTCTCCACTCTCCCATAACTGAGCATGAGAAACACCGTGGGACCAGGATGACGGAGAGCCAGGGTGTTTCTGTTGGAGAAACAGACTCACATACAGAGGATAAACTGGGAGTAGATGGGAAAGGTGAAGAGGAATAAGAGGTACAAACTCGCAGTTAAAAGATAAATCACAGGGATGTAATGTACAGCACAGGGAAGAGTCAATAATACCGTAATAACTTTGTACGGCGACAGATGCTACTAAACATATCATAGCGATCACATCATAAGGTATAAAAATGGAAAACACGAAGGCTTGTCTCTTAGCGGTGCCATCTTCTGCATCTCACCTGGTAATGCCTTTGCCCATTTCACTGCTGCGATCACTTGCCGTCCACCTAAAACGTTGAGTGTGTTCATGATCCGCCAAGAGGTATCTGGAATAGAGGCATCATACCCTGAAAACAACACCTCGGGCTCAATGACCTCCAGCAGTGACATCAGGGTAGGGCTGACTTGTGGTAATGCTGCAGGGACGACTGTTTTGTTAGCAGGATTTTCAGGAGTTTCTTGTGCGACTCCCGTAGCCTGAATTCCTTTTATCTTTTTCTTTGTTTTTCGAGCTGTGGGTGTTAAAAAAAATACACAGAAATGAGCTGTGATGGGAAGGCAGAGGTGGCAAAGTTTATTCAAGAGGCATTTTTACTTCTGAAACTATTTAGAATGAAAGAGTAGGAAACTTTTATTTAGCAATCATGATAAAGTGACATGGAATAAGAAAAAAATTTTTTTTTGTTACAAATAAGCCAGTTGCTTCTCTATTACAGTTACACTTTATACAAAATTAAGTGCCTTACAGTAAATACTATGATAAAGCAATCTAAGCAAATCACTTTCATAGATTCTTCAATAAATTAATCTCTGTCCCTCCTTCATGCTAAAGTCAAAATTTTCATTGCTTACATAAGGCAAATTACTTTTACTATCAATTGAAAGAAAGAATCTGAGCTTGTAATGCCAAACAAGAAATTCCATCCTAGGGTTACTCTAAATTATGGCTATATATAGAGAAGAGAGCTATACTGTTTAGTCCCTTGCACAAAGCCCTGTTCTTATCAAGACAGAAAAATGACATAGCAGATCACACGCTGAAGATAGCATTACTTCTAACAGCAGAAAAATCCACTTATTTTTGCCTCTAATAACTACTACTTGGGACTAAAAACATTTGGGTAAAAAGAAAAACTTTACATTTCTTCACATACATTATTAGTGGGTAATTTCCCTTTTATAAGAGATTTATATTGACTATAAACCTAAAGCATTCATTTCCATATTACTATTATATAAAGTAACTAAAGTTATCTTTGACTCTCAAAACAGTGTAATCAAATTATGACATGGGTTCTGTAGATTTTTTTTTTTTTTTTAGTAAATGTAGTCATACCCTTTGTTGTTTTAGTGACAAATAAGAATTATTTTTTAGTATATATACTGCTGAAGGAAGCACAGAATTAAATATATTTATCTATCTTTAGAGAGAGGAGAAGGGAGGGAGAAAGACAGGAAAACACTGATTGGCTTCCTCTTGCACGCCCCCAACTGGGGACCTTCTGCTGGCTAATACTCAATCCACCGAGCCACACCAGCCAGAGCTCACTTGACTATCAAAAATAAAGCAATGTTTTGGAATGATTACAATGCACCTTAAAATGAGATAACTATAAAACTTTTAAGATCACCTTTAAAAAAACCTTATCTTTATTTAGCTCTGGCCCGGTAGCTCAGTTGGTTAGAGCATGGACCCAGGAGGCCAAGGCTGTGGGTTTGATCCCCAGTCAGGGCTCACACAAGAAGCATGAGTAAGTGGAACAGCAAATCAAAGTTCCCCTCTCTCTCAAATCAATTAGACAAAACCCACCTTATTTGTAGTCAAAGGCTAGGAGCTTTAAGCAAGGCTGCCTTAAAAATATAGCTTGAGAATTATTTACTATGAGGCAACAGTATCAAAACACACTCCTTGCTGTATTAAGTTCACAGAAAGAATCTGGCTCAGAGAGCCAGTGGCTTCAGCAAAGTTACTGCGGGGCTCGGCTTGGGGGAAATGCTCCAGTGAATGGGAGGCTATTTCTGACGGTTGTAAAAAATAAGTATGAGATCTGTGGCTCATCTATCTTGTTCTTAAATATGGTCTGCTAGATTCTGGCACTTACTCCAAATAAAGGTTTTATATACACTGGAGTAATTGAGGCTTTTACACTAAAATTACACATACATAAAAAACTCTATGAACTTCAGATTTTTTTAAAGCCTTTTAGTTTTTCTACAAATTATCAACTGCATGCTATGTGCTAATATTTAATATATTATTAAATGACAGACAACTACATAGTAACACCCATAAATCTACTTTATATTTGAAAACACATACAGTGTGCGCTAATAGATCACTCCAACAGCCTCTCTTCTCTCAAAAGAGCCACATGGTTTCCATTCTCCCTCTAATATTACCATGTCCTGTTTAATTGGTCTCTCATACGAGATTAGTCTTTCTAAAATACAAATACGATTACGTCCCTGCCCTTACTTTGCCTAATTGCTACTCAGCTTTTTTTAGATTTCAAATTCAACGTTGTTTTCCTTGCCTTTCAGGACAGGACTGGGCGACCCTGTCTGTGGAGTGGGGCTCTGGCCTTGTGCAGTGTGCCATCCCACTTTGTGGCTTGACTCTGCCACCTAACTAGACAGTAAACTCCTAGAATACAGGCACTGTTGTATTCTCTGGTGTCTGCCCTCTTGGTGAGGTGAGCACTTGCTGAATCAGTGTTTGCCAGCACAGCCAGCACCAGGCACGTGGCTCACTAGATCACCATCATCGCCCTCACGGAACGTGAAATTCCAATTAAAGCAGGATTCCAAACTTTCAGAGGAAAGCTTGTAAGAGATTAATGTTAATTATAAAACTTGTTACACAAGCAGGGTACCTTTTTTCCCCCCTCTGAAGAGCTACAAAAGTAATGTTGCCTCAAGTATTGTAATTATTATTATTATATAATTTCATTTTTTAAGTCTGTAGTCTGGCTATACTGAATTTAGTAATAAGAGCTGATGAATAAACTTAAGCAAAATATAAAATTTCATTTAAAAATTCCTACTCTTGTTGAGCAATAATATTGTGCTAGTCAAGCACATATATATACTATAATAACTAAATTATTACATCTGCTTACTTATATTTTAAGAAGTAAAAATTTTATAACAACTCCTTTCAGGTCTTTACATTACCTTCCAGGTTCATTCCAGCCTGAAGACATTTTCGATAGCGGCATGCTGGGCAATTTTTCCTTCGAATTTTATCAATGATGCAATCATTTCTTCCAGCACAAAGATAATTATGCTGTCCTGTTATGAAAAATAAAGGCACTGTTAAAATGTCACAGGTATTAAAGGATATTTTTCTGGAGTGACTCTTTGTTTCAGGTGGGGCAAAGGCATTGATTAAGGAAGGTGTAGTGTGCTTTCTTCATTGCCATTAGAAAGTTGAAAGGTCAACTGAAAAAAATCTTTGTTCTGTTGAACAAATTAAACATAGGTCATTAAAAAACTTTACAGAGCATACATACAGAAAGGCGCACAAGTCATAAATGTACTGCCTAATACATGTCTCAAGCGAACACCTCCATGTTATCAGCTCTCCGATCCAGAAGCTGAACAGCACCCCATAAACGCTCCTTACCCCTTTCTAGTCACTCCCCATCAAGGGCAACCTCTTCCGTGATGAAATGTGCTTTAAACACTGTCGTCTTTTAACAGTTACAGAAGACATCTCTTTGGTTGCTATTTTATGGTGACTTCTGACCTAATGCTAAGGAGGACTAAAGAAAAAGGAGACTGGCTTTAAAATACTGTGCGAGTCTGAAAAGGAAAATGACTTTCATTCAGCTTTATGCCGCCACATGCAAATAAAATGTGTTCCTCCTCCCAATTTTAAATGAAGCAACAGGTGAACATTTCATCTTAAAAGTCAAGGCTGCCATTAACTAGGTAGGTGAGTCACAGATTTGGCAAACTAAACTACTGTCTATAGATCTTACAGAGATTTGTTAATTATTTCACATGCTTTTAGAATACAAGAATGTTTGACTTCACCATGGAATGCAAATGTTAAAGGACCACTACTGTCTAAAATCTTGTGGTACCCAGTTATATAGAGATCTGATTAAAGATATATATATAAAATTTAATAAATTTATTATATAATAAATCATATAATTAATTATATATTCATTTAATAATTAATTAAATAAACTGGGTACCACAAGATGTGTTAGAGGTAGAAGTGCAGTTTTCCCCTGGCAAAAATTTTCACAAAAAATTTAAAAGGAAAAGATAGAAAGTCTCCCTACCTCGCCCCCTGCCCGCCCCCCCCCCCGCCCCGGCCACATACATAATCGTGTAGTTTTCTTTTAATATGGTTATTGAATGTTGAAGAAAATTATCTGAGGATCTGCTGGCCTGGCAAAAACAAAGGACCCTCCTACACTAGATCAGCAGGTGTAAACAAACACCCCAGGGACCCAAAGGTCCAAGTAGCCTCCACTAGTGGGGACAGTCTTCACAAGACTACAAGCCACTTCCTCCTCAAAAATAAATCAATCATTTTCAAAGAGAAGAAAAAATCAATTCACTAGGTTGAATATACTTCTGATTTTTATGAAAAGATCCTTTATGCATAGGACAACCTAATACTTGCGTTGAAAATAAACTCTATTTACTCCTTAATATAAGTCACAGCGCTTTGTAAGCATTAGTTTTGGGTAGATGGTTAATTGTTGTGGATCCAGTTCCAGAACTGGTCTCTGATACCAAATGTCTGTACCAGCTGTTTCAGTTCCTTTCTACACTGTTTGTTTCCTAGCTGCTTTACTTGAATATAAAGTGCAAGCATTAACCCAATACTTCTGTCCTGTATTAAAGCAAAAGTAGGAACAACAAATGTAGTCATAGTTGAAACAATTATAATATAAAGAAAGAATTTCTATTCCCTAAGAATATCACCAAATCGCTGTCCTGCAGTTACTTGGAAAGATGACTGAAAAAATTACTCATTGCCAGAAACAAAAAATTCTAATGTTTTTATATCCAAACAAAACATCAGCATGTGCACATTATGCTAAAAATGACTTCCTTAACCCAGGTATGTCTATGTCTTAAGCACATCTAAGAATTGTAGCTACAGGATTGGGAGGACATTGTATCTTTTAAGTTAAAATTAGTCCTACCTCTCTGGTTTTTAGTATGAAGTTGGGCAAATCTGTGTCTTATTTATAAAATGAGGCGTGGTCACTTTTTTACAAGGCACGGACATGAACTGCAAATAGTCACTCCTTGTTACTCCTTTGATAAGGCAACAGGACACCTCAGTTTGGAGCCTCCCTTTGTCTTACAGCACCTGCTCAGGCCCCTTTCTAACTCATAGAGTGGACACATCAGGGGAAAAGCCTTCAAGTGAACTGGAATTTCTCAACATTGTTTTGTTTGCATCGTATTTATTTTTGTGGTTAAAATCTATTTTTGGCAAGCAATTCTAGTTTGTATCTGTGGTAGGCGTGGTAGCCAACCTCCAGGATGGCCTCCGACGGTCTCTGTGTAATCCCTTCCCATACTCTACCAGGATCAGTCTGTGTGACCAATAAAATAGAGCGGAAGTGACCATGTGTCACATCTGAGATTAAGCTCTAAAGATGTTTCCTTTTCGGTCACGCCTTCTCTCGCGGCTCCATGTGTTCTGGGGGACGCCAGCTGTCAGGCTGGCCGCAGTCCTAGGGTGGGCTCCGCCAGCGAGGAGCTGAAGCCTCCTGCCAGAAGCAATGTTAATGCGGTGGGAGCGACCCTTCGGCGGATGGCGGCCTCGCCAGTGGTCTGAACATAGCCTCACAAGTGTCCCAAGACTACCCATCTAGAAAGCTGCTCCTAAATTACTGAGTCTCAGAAACTGCGTGACATACTAAATGCCTCATTTCAATCTCTTCATTTTGGGGGCAGTTTGTTATATGGCAATAGATAATACAGTAGGGATAGTAAAGTTTTTAAAAAATAAAATAATGATCTAAGAAAAATGTTAGTCAATAGGACAGTGCCCTGGCTGGGTGGCTCAGTTGGTTGGAGCATTGTCCTGTGCCAGAACTCGCGGGTTTGCGCCCCAGTCGGGGAGCACATGGGAAGGAACCAGTTGATGTCCCTCTCATCATGCATCTTGATAGGTTATCGAAGGATTACAGAATTTTAGAGCTGAAAGGGACCTTGGAGAACATTAAAATCCAAGTAAAGGGTACTTAACACAGTCAACACTTAAACCTTTCTTATTACTCATGTAACCTAACCATCAGACTTACTTAATTGAAATATTTAAATGATAAAAGTAAAACAGTGGAGCTAATATTCAGTTAAATTTTACCTAAAAACAAATGTAAGAATTTAATTCTAAAGCAGGGATTAAGACCAGAGGGCATCTAGTTTGCAGTGTTTTTTTTTTTGCTCGAGAAGCACGTTCAGCTTATGTCCCTCCTTCCAGCTGCACTGGGATGCTTCCTGGTGGGGCGCACTTGCACCCAGCAGCAGTGACTGCTCGCCCCCTGTGCCCCACACCCAGGTGCACTGCATTTGGCCAGAATGACATAATTGGTCCCTGCAGGCATTTCAATCTGCAGCCCTGTTTTAAAGAGTAATTTTAATTAAAATGGAGGAGAATGAATAATATTTTTTAAAATACCGTATTTCTTTTAAGGCTCCACTGTCTCAATCTGAATTTCACTTTCAGAAATCAATTTGTCAATATTATTTATGTACAGCAATACCATATTTCTGTTATCACTGCATTTACATCATGGAAATAACTGTTCAGTTATGAAAGTGCTGAATAAAGTGAGAACAAGAAGAGGCTTCCTTCTCTTGGGTCTGCTGAAAATAACATCTATTAATACTTTGTTAGAGGCATTTCACTAAGCAGGAGTGGGCTTTACTTATGACTTTACTCAACAGTTGGGAGCTACTAAACTGGCTAAAATGTGCATCCCTGTGCTTAGTTGGGTAACGAGTAATTTTATACTTTGTTAATGTATTAAAGAAAGTAATCCAGCAATGATCCTGAGAAGGAACAACAAGGTTGGAGGAATCACACTACGTGATATCAAACTGTACTACAAGGCCACTGTAATCAAAACAGTCCGGTTCTGGTATAAAAACAAAACACAAAGATTGATGGAACAGAACAGAGAGCCAGAAAGAAAGCCGCACTTCTGTAGTCAATTAATATTCAACAGAGGAGGCACACTCCTACAATGGGCTAAAGATAATTTATTCAATAAATGATGTTGGGAAAATTGGGCAGATCCATGCAGAAAAATGAAACTATACCACCTTTTACACCACATACAAGAATAAATTCAGTATGGATTAAAGACTTAAATATTGGACCTGGAACCATAAAAATCCTACAAGAAAGCATAGGTAGCAAAATCTTGGACGTTGCCTATAGCACTATTTTACCTGATCTATCTCCCTAGGCAAAAGAAACAAAAGAAAAAGTAAACAAATGGGACTACATCAATCCAAAAAGTTTTTGCACAGCAAAGGAAACCATCAAAATAAAAAGACAACCTACTGAAAGGAGACTATATTTACCAATATATCTGATAAGGGCTTAATACCCAAAATTTATAAAGAACTTAAAAAACTCAACACCGAAAAAACAATCCCATTTAATAAATGGGCAAAGGACCTGAGTAGACACTTTAACAAAGAGGACATACAGATAGTCAATGGACGTGAAAAGATGCTCGGTGTCAATCATCAGAGAAATGCAAATTAAAACCACAATGAGGTATCACCTCACAGCTCAGAATGACTATCATCAATAAATATACAAATAACAAGTTCTGGCGAGGATGTGGAGAAAGGAGAATTTTTGCACTGTTGGTGGGAAGGCAGCCTGGCACCACCACTGTGGAAAGCAGTACGGAGATATTCCCCAAAATTAAAAATGGATCTGCCTTTTGATTCAGCGATTCTACTCCTGGGAATATATCTGAAGAAACCAAAAACACTAATTCTAAAGAACACAAGAAGGCCGATGTTTACTGCAGCATTATTTACAATCACCAAGATATGGAAGCAGCCCAAGTGTTCATCAGTAGATGAGTGGATAAAACAACTATGGGACATTTACACAATGGAATACTACTCAGCCATAAACAAGGAAGAAAATTTCACCCTTTGCAACAGCATGGATGGAACTGGAGAACATTATGCTAAGTGAAATAAGCCAGTAAGAGAAAGATAAACACCATTTGATTTCACTTACATGTGGAATCTAATGGACAAACTGAAATAACAAATACAATAGGGACAGACTCAGGTAAACGGCAGGCTGACAGCTGGGGGTGGGGAGTAGGGTAGGGGGGTGGAGGGATCCAGCAAAAAGGAAACAGGACTCATGGACACAGACAACAGTGTGGTGACTGCAGGGGAGAGTGAGATGTAAGGGGGCTAAATGGTAATTTAAAAAAATTATTTCATTGTATTTTTTACAAGGTAATTAGAACAAAAGAAAATGACTCATCTAACTTCTTAAGGATATGCAAACAGAACTCTAGCCAAAAAATAATAACCCTTCTCATACTATGAATGAATAAATCATTATTTCTTTAAAAATTAATATAATCAGAGCAATGTTTAGGTAATTTACTCAGGCCACATGGCCTTCAAACTGCTTTCCAGATGACCGAAATACATAATCTTCCCAAGAGGATTCACTGTTGCTATTAGAAAAATTTTAGTGACTTCCGATAATAATTTGCTATGGAAGCAATTTCTCATGCTTTAAAGAGCTGATGCTCTTGTCCGCAAGCTGAGATTATAGCAAAGGTAAAGTCCGTATTACTATAACATTTGCAGAACAAAATACTTCCTCTAAAATTCCCTCTTTCCTGACCTCCGGGCAGTCCATCCCTTGCTCCCCTGCACTGAACACTCGGCACCCTCTTAACTCAGCCTGCATGTCATGTACAATGTGACCTCCCAGAGGGCAGGGATCAACACGCGTGTTGTATTCATACCGCTCAGCACAGTGCCCTGGCCCAAAAGCAAAACACCCTTTTGTGCCCCTCAGTTCTGTCACTCATTTTTGCCAGACTGAAATAGTAGGTGACTTTAAAACCAATTAATTTATGGGAATTAAAGCCTGTGATTCTAATACAGTGAGGGTCATGTGACTGCCCAGACCCAACGTCACCTTATCACATGACACCACTTTCTTACGTTACCTTCTGTTCTCTGGCCAAGTTCTCTCCCTTCAGTTTATTTTCTGCTTTATTCTAGTTCTGTTCTTGGTTGCTTTTTAAAATATCTCTCTCCCTCTAAGGACCTAGGAGCCACCCTCCACTGGCCCCCTTACTGATTTCTAGCCTTAATGAGCATTGCCTATAACATATTTCAAAATCCACTCTGAGAAATGAGAGTCAAAAGAAGGAAAAATAAAACTCTTCAAAACACACACTACCTTCCACTGCTCTTTTGAAGAAGACTTTACAGCTTCCACAAGTCAAGACCCCATAGTGACATCCTGAGGCTTCATCGGAGCACACCAGGCAGAGTTTGGGAGGTGGTCCTGCTGCCGCTGAGGAGGTGGATGGAGGAGAGCTCACATCTGGTCTCATCCCAGGGCTAAAGAAGGGAGAAAGCAGTGATGTCATTTAGCTGTCACGACTCAAAAATACACACATCGAAATACAGTGCTCTCCGCCTCTCACTTCACTGAACTGGCTTCAAGTACTAGCAAGCATTCAAAAATCCTATCTACCTAAATATATTCAAGTAATTATTTCACAGAAAATTAAGAATGAGGTCATTTCCTTTTAAGTATCCCCTAAAAAGAAGCTGTGCTTCACTAGAAATTACGAAGTTGTTGCTCAGGATTTGTTTATATTTATAATCACCTTAATTGACTTCACCTTATGAAGGTGATTATAAATATCATTTATATATAACAACACTCACCATTGATAAATTTGCTAAATAGTTTTACAACTAACACCACAATCAAGAGATCACCCCCAAACGATTTCTCCTACCCCTTAATTGCTTAGGACATCAACCTTCCCTCCAATTTTTGATATATCGGGAGGCATCTTGGTAAGTTTGATCATGTCTCAGCACAATTCTGCTCATGTCCTCCGCTTGAGCCGAAGCGGTTCACAGCAGGCGTGTTTGGCCCTGCACCGCTCCTTCCCAGTGTCTTCCTCGCAACACCAGGCTTCCCACGGCCGTGGGGCCTGAGGCGGCAGCCTTTCTGCACAGCTTTCTCGGCTGTCTGCTGTGTGAGTGGACAAGCACGAGGCTCTTGGCGGTCAGGACGGTCCTGCCCTCCCCACTCAACGAGGACATGCTCCGGAGAAAAAGATGGAAAATGGGAATCTGCTGCTTCTACTAGGTTTCATTTTTCAATTTGTAGACTTTTTACCACAATGAGTACAGGACTAGTGTTTAAAGATAAACATCCTTTTCCTAATTTTTGTTATGAAAATTTTTAAATGTTGAAAGATTTGTACAATGGATATATACTCTTTACCTGTGCTCACCATTCTTAACATTTTGCCACATTTGCTTATAAATATATATATTTATACACCAACAAAACAGTGATCCTTTTAATGCTGAAGGAAAAATGAACGATGAAACACTTGATAATAGATCATACGATGCTTTCCAATGTTGTATTTTCCTAAGGAATTGTCATCTTACATGCTAACTTTAGAACCAAAACTACTGTGTAACTCAAAAGGGTTTCTGACCTTGTACCTTTCTGTAACTAAAAAGAGTCTCTAAAAAGACTTTCTGGAGACTGCCCCCATTCCTTCTCTGGTTATATGTTCTTCAAAAATATGAATGGCAGCAATCTATTCATTTTGGAACCATACATATTAAAGTGTGTTATTACCTATATAAGAAAGTTCATAAGCATACCATTACTTCTCTCTACAATTTTCATAATCTGCCCATTCTCTAAGAGATGGTGGCACTGAGGAATACACTTAGACTGGGTGTAAGCTGACCTTTTGTCATCCTCTATAACAGTACAGTGAGTTCCCAAATAAAGTAGTTATTCGGTGTTGTTCTGTGATACATCATTTCACTTAAAGTCACAGAAACTATGGATGTCATTAAGTGAGGACTCTGTATTAAATCTCAATGACAAATTTACAGAGTGAACAAATTGTTTTGGTTATCAACATAGTTAGAAATTTATGAAGTAACATCTTTGTTCTCTTTTAGGAATAAAAGTTAAAAGGTAATTATAGAATGACAATATGTTTTACAAATGTCACTTGAAGCAAGCAGGCCACTAAACCCAAAAGCTCCCCCTAGGTTCTGTCCTCAAGGGAAGTCTACTGCACCCTGGCAACCCTTGCTTGTCCAAGAGGCTTAGTCAACGGGGCGGCATTCCCACCATCCCAGTGTCCTGTGAGCGCTGTCAAGGAGAATTTCGCGATGCTTCCATATCACGAGGCAGTGACTCCCTAGTAGATCTGGGAGAATGGACTGAGTACACACTGAAAGCCTGCAATGAAAGAATAACTTGAGCTAACTCTGCTGTAGGTCTGGCATGAGCCACCCCCGATCGATGGAAACCCGTGACTGTGGCAGAGGAGCCGCCCCAGGTGCGAGTCTCCCAGAGGCAGGAGGGCTCCGGAGTGAGCGGACGGGGCAACGTGTCGGGAGCAGCACTTCTTGGCTTCTGCTCGGAAGATGCTCCTATTCCTGCTCAGCCAGTCTCTTGTCATCTGACATCTATTTTTAGGGACCAGCCAGTTGTTTGTGTATTTAGTTTATGGAAAATAAGTGCAATATTTAAATATTTGAAATGTTAATTCTCATATGTAATATACTTACATGGGTGTATGTATTTTAAGAATTTTAAATAGCATTTGTAATACTTCATAGTGTTAAACCGCTTTCTGGAACGGAAACTCCTCTATCCCCTCGACAGCCCTGTGGAAAGGGCGCCCCGGGCTCTCGGCGAGGCCAGGCACTCGAGGGGGTTGATCAAGGAGGCTGTTTGGGATCAGACTGACAGGCTTCAGATCCCAGCTCTGCCACCTAAAAGCTGTGTGACCTTGGTAGGTACCTACAACTCTGAGCCTCAGTTTCCTCATGAGTGAACTGGGAAGGACACCATGAGTGGGGAGAGAGAGAGAGAGAGAGAGAGAGAGAGAGAGAGAGAGAGCGCGCGCGCGCGTTGGAAAGAGCACACACAGGGAGTCATGCCTATGGCTCCTGCATCTGATAAATGTTCATTCTTTCCTCCTTCAGGAGACCTGGAGATTTTATGAAAAGCATTATATAAATGTTATTTAAGTGGAAAATAGTATTAAACCTAACACCTACAACAGTATTCTCAAATTCTTACGTACAACTTAGAGCATCAGGCCACCGAACTGAGCCACAGACGACAGACGAGAAAGTTCAAAGTGAATGAACAAATGGATTGACAGAAGCGCAGCTGAGGGCCCAGAGCTGAAGCCAGGCCTTGGCGTCCCTTCAGGCAGTCACTCTGGGCTGCATCAGATAAGCGCTGAGCACGGGGAAAGCTGCCAAGTGTACCACAGACATCAGTGGAAAAAAATCAGTTTTTGTCACACAAATATGAGGACTAGTGGGGCCCTATAATGACCACCACTGGGAGAAATGGATGGATGAATGCAATAGGGTGTTCAATTGCAAATGCAGCCCTATGATACTGCTGAGAAAAAGGGCAATGACAAAACGGTGAGAGCTCAAAGGACAACCCCACGGAATCACCATTTTCTAGGGATGTGGGGCAGAAGGAGAGGAAAAGCAGCACTGCAATAAGAGTGCCTACTGCGCTCGGAAGATGCGGAGGCTCTGCTGGTAGCCGACTACACTGGTAGCCGACTGAAAAGGGCGCTTTTCAGTGAAGAGTCACGGGAACAAAACGACTGTTCCAGGTGCACACCGGAATGCTGTTTCTCATTCAGAGTGGACGCCAAGTGACTCCTGAGGCTGCTGAGTTTATGAGAGAAAAAACATGTATGAAGCTGTGTTTTTCTATTTGGCTCTCTTGCAAGAAAAGCAACTGCTGGAAGGAGGGTTGCCTTCCTTCGACTGCTGGACAGTCGTGGATGAATTGTGGAAGTCCATCACACGCCTTGAGAGCATGCAAAGTGTGCAGGCAAATTACACCCTTTCATCCAGCACATGCTTCCTGGCACCTGAAAGCCAGGCGCAGTGAGGATGTGCAGGCTGTGTCTTACAAGGAAGTCACATCATGCATGGAGTGCGTTACTGAGATGGCAATGAACCTTGAAACTCTGATCTATGTAGGAGTAGCGGAGTATCTTTTCAGCTGCCTCCTGTGTCATGGCACTGCTAGGGAAGGAGTCTGCTACGTAAACAGACCAGCCGTTTTGAACCCTGGCTCCAGGGTTCTGGCGGTGGGCAGCAGTGGCAAGTGGACAGCCCGAGCCTGTGCCCTTATCCATTCCATTTTAGGAATTTTTGTGGGGATGATATGACATCACGTTTATAGAAAGTTCTGGGCACACACTTGGGGATCATCAAACACTATGTCTCTCTTCAATCCCCCACCATTAACTTCCTTTTTCACTTCCCAATTCCTCCCTCCCTTCTGCAGTATCCTAGGGAAAGGGAGAAGTACTATATAAATGTGAGCCAGGGGAAAGGTAGTGGTCCCTTAGAAGCTTAAGTTTGGGTCATTGTAGATACTCTTTTGCTATTATATCAAAATTCGACAATTTAGTTTTGTAAAGGTTAGTGTGCCAATGTGGAATCTGGAATCTTACTAGTGAACTCTTTGTAACTAACTCTGTTACATCAAATCCATTGGTCTGTCTCGCACTTTGAAGGGATCCCACGTGTGGTTGTATACTAGTGTGCCTTAGTCATCTGGAAAATACCAGTTCCCTGGGTTACGCAGCCCTTCCAAGTGTTGACACAGTTCATTATCCAGTGCAAAGGAGGCCCGTTTGTTAAGCTCACAGTGGCAGTTGTATCTTCCAAAATTCTGTTTCGTTTGAAAGCTCTAATTTTTATCAACTGGCAACAAATACTGTCAGTTATCTTCCTTGAAGTGATAAGCTGACTTCAGACATTTTTGAGAAGATGTGCCAAGTAACCAAGGCTGAAAGTCGCAGTTTATCCACGGTATACCATGAAAAGGGGGGCCTGGTCAGCTCACAGCTCAGTCTCGCGCGCGCTTCCTGTTAAGACTGCCATCGAATGCTGTATGCGGCATGCCTGCTTTCTGAACCTTCCCATTCTGTGACACAGATAGATGTGTAAGACCCCTATTCAAGGGTAGAGATTTAACAGAATACTATTTTGCTTCCTCAAGGATATTCTTAAGAGAAACTGGAGGCTTTCTTTTCTTTTCAACCATGTGTGCATGGCAGTGAATGCACTAGTAACTGCACCTACCCTAAGATGCCGGAAGTTTTACTCATCATTGTTTTTGTACCATTCATGCAAATATCAATAAAGTGAACAAGGCAAATAAAAATTATGTGTTATCATGAAGAGTTCTGAAAAGCCTTGGGGTCTCCCTGGGGGTCCAAGGACCACATGTTGAGAATTGCTGGAAGAGCAAATACTGAGGGCTCTAAGTCAGGCTAGAATTCACCACCTAA